TATATGGAAGATTGTTACTTTTATTAAGAAGACTGTTTCTATTAGGAATATTATTGTTCTTATAATGTAAATACATTCTGAGTATATGTTTTATATGTTGTTGTTTTGCTGTCTTTCTGCAAATACCTTTCATAGACTATTGTTGTTAAAGACACCCTTAGAATTTAAATGTGTTTTGTAGACCATTGTTGTAATAAAGATTCTTATAATTTGAATATGTTGTGTCGTTCATTGGTTTTGTTGCTCTTCTGTAAATAAATAATCATTGTTTTCACACCCCAGCTCTCTTTGTGTTTGCTTTGGGTACTCGCAGCTTTTGCAGAGTTCTGGTTTCCACTTGCTCCGGGTTCCCATGGCTGGAGGTGTCTGGGGGTGTTGGAATGGCCACTCCTAGTGTGGGGTCCCTGTGCTCAGAGGGGTCCCACTGACAGAGGTCCCACTCTCCTGGCAATTGCTTTGCACGTACTTGGGATCTGTAGAGGCCAATCCCACAGGGCTCAGTGCCCTGGGATCCCATGTGGGAGCAGGGCCGTGCCTGCGTGGTCCTGCAGAGCCTCCTCAATGGCTCTTCCCTGGGTGACCCCAGTGCTGAGGAGGGTGCACTGGGCTGGGGGCACCCCCTTCTCTTGGGCACCCCGAGGGGCTGGAGCTGGCCCGGAGGGAGTGTTAGCACAGGGGACTCTGGCTTTTGCTCCTGCTCCAGAAATCCCTGGGGAAAATGTTTGTTCTGGGGGCTCCCCAGGATGCTGCAGGCCCAGCCTCAGCTGGAGGGAGCCAGCGGGGCACAGACGCTGTGTCCCCATTGCCAGGGTTTCCTTTGAAGCCTGGGCTTGTGGGAGCACAGGGAGCTCGGAGCTGAGCTGGGGGATGGACCCACGGCCCGGCCCAGGCACCCCATGGAGCCGCTCCGGGCTGGGAGCTGGGCCCAGGGGACAGACGGGATCTGCTCCCGACGCATCCCTGCAGACTCCACAAAGAACAGCCCATGGCAGCAGGACTCTGCCCAGCACAGCCTTCGCTCCGGGGATTTTATCCCTCAGCACAGGAGTGTGTTTAGTTCCTGTCCAGGGATAACCAAACCTTCCCCCTGTTCCCCAGGAAACTGCAGCCCCCACAGGGCTCATCCCGGCCTCCAGCTCTGGGCTGCTGAGCGCAGGAAGGCCGTGGAGCTGCTGGAGCCAGTGGGGAGGAGGCCCCAAAGATGCTGCGAGGGCTGGAGCCCCTGTGCCCTGAGGAAAGGCTGAGAGAGTTGGGGTTGCTGAGGCGGGAGAAGAGAAGGCCCCGGGGAGGCCTCAGTGTGGCTGGGCAGGAGCCGAAGGGGCCCAGAGGAAAGCTGGGGACAGTGTTCAGCCCTGGGAGGAGAGGAGAAGAGGGGATGGCTTTACACTGAAGAAGGGAGATTCAGGTTTGATTTGATTTAGGAAGATGTTTTTTTGCACTAATGGTGGTGAGACCCTGGCAGGGGCTGTGCAGAGAGGCTGTGGATGCCCTATTCCTGGGAACATTCAAGGACCACTTGGATGGGACCCTGAGCAACCTGGTCAGGTTGGAATAAGATGATTTTAAGGTCCCTCCCAAGTCAAACCATTCAAGGATTCCATCATTCCATAATCCCCATCCCCACTGCTGAGCGGCCCCACAACTCCTGTGACATCACAGCTGCCAGAGCTGTGCCCGTGTTCCATGTGGAACTGCCAGGGCCCGGCGACGAGCACAACGCAGCCATTCCCCTGCTGACAGCGATCTGTGAGCAGCTCACAGCGCGCCCTCGACAGGAGATCCCTGAGAGACCCGCGAGTCCTGGACTCAACCTACTCTCTGGAACTCTGCAGCCATCCCAGCAGGATGGGCAACCTCCTCCCAGTGAAGGTACAGTGCCAATCCATGGAGGTGGGAAACCCCTGACTTCCCAGGAAGGCTGGAGCTCTGTGGGGCTGGTGTGGGACAGGGACCCCTCTCTGAGCTTGTGCTCCCTTACACAGACTGCTGGAGATACGGAGGAAAAGATGGATGTGGATGTTGTGGTGGATGCAGAGGAGAGGATGGAGGTGGACATCCAAGAGATGGAAGAAGAGATGGAAGTCGATGAGGTGGAGGAGATCGAGGAGATGGATGTGGACCATCCAGATGAGGAGGAGGACATGGTGCTGGGATGAGGACAGTCCCCCAGCAGCAGAACAGGCACGTCCTGGCCATGCCCTGCCCCAGGGTCACCTGCTGGGTGGGCCAGGCTGGGGGCACAGGGAACACCCAGCAGGGCCCGACTGCACTGACCGTGCCCTTGCTTTTCTTCCAGGACTGACGGACCTGCCGGCCATGGCATCGGCCATGCTGTACATATGTTTTTCATTTTTTTCTGTAAATATGTTTTCTATTGTTCACTTTTTAAGAAGACTGTAGTTTGTATAGAGAAGATAGTTTAAGATGATAGATTTCTAATAAGAAGATAGTTTTTTGATAATAGTTTTTTTAAGAAGATAAGGTTTTATTTAAAGAAGATAAGGTTTTATTTAAGAAGATAGATTTTATGAAGATGATAGTTTTTTTAAGAAGATAAGGTTTCTTTTTAAGAAGATAGTTTTTTATTAAGAAGATTTTCTTTTATTTAGAAGATAGTTGTTTTTATTAAGAAGATATTTATATTAAGAAGAGAGTTGTTTTTATTAAGAAGATGGTTGTTAATATTAAGACTGTTGTCATCAAGAGGACTCTTGCTTCTGTAAAGAAGAACACTGGATTTATTAAAAAAATTAGGAAAAAGTCAATAAATTCTGTAGACGTCTCTGATATGTTGTTGGTTTATTGCACTTCTGTAAATACATGTCAAAGATTATTGTTGTTCCATGGGCCCTTAGAATGTGCCCTCTCAGCCCAGACACCCCCCCGTGTCCTGGGCTCATCCCCAGCCCTGGGGGCAGCAGGGCAGGGGGGGTTGTGCCGCTCTGCTGCGCTCTCAGGAGACCCCACCTGCAGTGCGGCCTCCAGCTCTGGGGTCCCCGACACAACAAGGCCAGGGAACTGCTGCAGCAAGGCCACACCAGGCCAACAAGGGGCTCAGGGACCTCGAGCACCTCCCCTCTGCACACAGGCTGGCAAAGTTGGGGCTCTTCAGCCTGGACAAGAGAAGGTTGTGTGGAGACCTGGGAGAAACCTTCCCGTCTGGGAAGGGGCCTCCAAGGAAGCCGGAGGGTGACTCTTGGTCAGCAACTGTAGTGACAGGACAAGGGCTTCAAACTGACACAGGGGAGGGTTAGATTTGATGTTAGGAAAACATTGTTTCCTGTGAGGGTGGTGAGGCCCTGGCAGGGGCTGTGCAGAGAGGCTGTGGCTGCCCCATCCCTGGCAACATTCAAGGTCCACTTGGATGGGGCCCTGAGCAACCTGGTCAGGTTGGAACAAGATGATTTTAAGGTCCCTCCCAAGTCAAACCATTCAAGGATTCCATCATTCCATGATCCCCATCCCCACTGCCGAGTGACACCACAACTCCTGTGACATCACAGCTGCCAGAGCTGTGCCCGTGTTCCATGTGGAACTGCCAGGGCCCGGCGACGAGCACAACGCAGCCATTCCCCTGCTGCCAGCGATCTGTGAGCAGCTCACAGCGCACCCTCGACTGGTGATCCCAAAAAGACTTGTCAGTCCTGGACTCTCCCTCCTGTCTGGATCTTAGCATCCATCCCAGCAGGATGGGCAACCTCCTCCCAGTGAAGGTACAGTGTCAATCCATGCAGGTGGGAAACCCCTGTCTTCCCAGGAAGGCTGGAGCTCGGTGGGGCTGGTGTGGGACAGGGACCCCTCTCTGAGGTTGTGCTCCCTTACACAGACTGTCGGAGATACGGAGGAAGAGATGGATGTGGATGTTGTGGTGGATACCGAGATGATGGAGGTGGACATCCAAGTGTTTGAAGAACAGATGGAGGTCGATGTGGTGGAGGAGATCGAGGAGATGGATGTGGACCATCAAGATGAGGAGGAGGACATGGTGCTGGGATGAGGACAGTCCCCCAGCAGCACGACAGGCACGTCCTGGCCATGCCCTACCCTGGGGTCACCTGCTGGGTGTGCCAGGCTGGGGGCACAGGGAACACCCAGCAGGGCCCGACTGCACTGACCGTGCCCTTGCTTTTCTTCCAGGACTGACGGACCTGCCGGCCTTGGCATCGGCCACTTGTACATATGTTTTTGACTTTGTTCCTGTTTGTACTGTAAATACGTTTTCTACTGTTCACTTTTTAAGAAGCTTTTTGTTTTTATAAGAAGATAGTTTAAGAAGATAGATTTTTAAGTAAGAAGATAGTTTTTTATTGTAGATTATAGTTTTTTTAAGAAGATAAGTTTCCTTTTTAAGAAGATAGCTTTTTCTTAAGAAGATAGTTGTTTTATTTAGAAGATAGTTGTTTTTATTAAGAAGATATTTTTATTAAAAAGACAATTGTTTTTAATAAGGAGATGTTTGTTGATATTAAGACTGTTGTCATCAAGAAGACTGTCGTTTCTTTGAAGAAGAGTACTGGTTTTATTAAGAAAATTCTGAAAATGTCAATAAATTCTGGACACATGTCTTATATGTTGTTGTTTCATTGTCCTTCTGTAAATACATTTCAAAGATTCTTGTCACTACATGGGCCCTTAGAATGTGCCCTCTCTGCCCAGACCCCCCCGTGTCCTGGGCTCATCCCCAGCCCTGGGGGCAGCAGGGCAGGGGGGGTTGTGCCGCTCTGCTGCGCTCTCAGGAGACCCCACCTGCAGTGCGGCCTCCAGCTCTGGGGTCCCCGACACAACAAGGCCAGGGAACTGCTGCAGCAAGACCACACCAGGCCAACAAGGGGCTCAGGGACCTCGAGCACCTCCCCTCTGCACACAGGCTGGCAAAGTTGGGGCTCTTCAGCCTGGACAAGAGAAGGTTGTGTGGAGACCTGGGAGAAACCTTCCCGTCTGGGAAGGGGCCTCCAAGGAAGCCAGAGGGTGACTCTTGGTCAGCAACTGTAGTGACAGGACAAGGGCTTCAAACTGACAGGGAGGAGGGTTAGATTTGATGTTAGGAAAACATTGTTTCCTGTGAGGGTGGTGAGGCCCTGGCAGGGGCTGTGCAGAGAGGCTGTGGCTGCCCCATCCCTGGCAACATTCAAGGTCCACTTGGCCGTGGCCCTGAGCAACTTGGTCAGGTTGGAACAAGATGATTTGTAGGGTCTGTCCCAAGCCAAAGCACTCAAGGATTCCATCATTCCATGATCCCCATCCCCAGTGCGGAGTGGCCCTGGACCTCCTGTGACATCGCAGCTGCCAGAGCTGTGCCCGTGTTCCATGTGGAACTGCCAGGGCCCGGCGACGAGCACAACGCAGCCATTCCCCTGCTGCCAGCCAGCCCTGAGCAGCTCCCAGCGCACCCTCTGGCCCGACCACCTTTGGTTCCAAGAGTACCCTTCGCCCTGCTCCCTCTGGACTGTCCCCACCTGCTCCCTTGAACATCCGTCAGTGCTGACTCTGCCTGCAGTCTGCAAGACTGTTGTGATCCATGCCAGCAGGATGTGCAGCCTTGTCCCAGTGAATGTCCAGTGCCAGTCCATGGAGGAGGGCACCAACTGACTGGCCAGGTGGGCTGGAGCTCAGTGGGGCTGGGGTGGGACAGGCCCCCTCTGTGAGGTTGTTCTCCCTGCTGCAGGCTGAGAGAGACAGCGAAGAGCCAACGGAAGGGGACACGGCGAGAGATCTAAAAGGCGATGTAGAGGAGATGGAGGTGGACACGCAAGAGGAAGAAGAGATGGACGTGGAAGAGGAAGGCGAGAAGGAGGCGGCCATGATCCTGGGATAAGGACACCCCGCCTCAGCAGCAGGTGAGGCCCGTCCTGGCCGTGCCCTGCCCCGGGGACAGCGGGTCACCTGCCGCCAGGCTGGGGCTGGGCTGGGGGGCCCCGGTGCCCCGTGCCCTGGATTGTGGCGGCACAACCCCCAGCCCCGGCCTGCCCTGCGCCTGCTTTGGGCCACACAAGCCCCGTGCCAGCGCCTGGGGCCCGGCTCCCATCCCCAGCCGGGCTCAGGCCTGGCGCCAGAGTCCCGCTGGGCCCAGCGTGGGCCAGGCTGGGGGCACAGGGAACGGCCAGCAGGGCCTGACTGCACTGACCGTGCCCTGGCTTTTCTTGCAGGACTGACGGACGTGCCGGCCACGGAATCGGCTACTTGTACATATGTTTTACATGTTGTTCTGTAAATACATTTTATATTATTGAATTTTTAAGAAGTTTGTTGGTTTTATAAAGAAAATAATTTAGGAAGATAGATTTTTAATTAAGAAGATAAGTTTTTTATTAAGAAAATAGTTTTTTTAAGAAGATAAGTTTCCTTTATAAGAAGATAGTTTTGTTCGAAGAAGATAGTTGTTTTATTTAGAAGATAGTTGTTTTTATTCAGAAGATATTTTTATTCAGAAGACAATTGTTTTTTATAAGATGTTTGTTGATATTAAGACTGTTGTCATCAAGAAGACTGTCGTTTCTATAAAGAAGAGTACTGGTTTTATTAAGAAAATTCTGAAAATATCAATAAATTCTGGACACATGTCTTATAGGTTGTCGTTTTATTGTAAATCCGTTTGAAAGATTTTTGTTGTTCCATGGGCCCTTAGAATGTGCCCTCTCAGGCCAGACCCCCCCCCCCCCCATGTCCTGGGCTCATCCCCAGCCCTGGGGGCAGCAGGGCAGGGGGGTTGTGCCGCTCTGCTGCGCTCTCAGGAGACCCCACCTGCAGTGCGGCCTCCAGCTCTGGGGTCCCCGACACAACAAGGCCAGGGAACTGCTGCAGCAAGGCCACACCAGGCCAACAAGGGGCTCAGGGACCTCGAGCACCTCCCCTCTGCACACAGGCTGGCAAAGTTGGGGCTCTTCAGCCTGGACAAGAGAAGGTTGTGTGGAGACCTGGGAGAAACCTTCCCGTCTGGGAAGGGGCCTCCAAGGAAGCCGGAGGGTGACTCTTGGTCAGCAACTGTAGTGACAAGACAAGGGGGAATGGGCTCAAACTGACAGAGGGTTGGATTTTTATGTTAGGAAAGTATTGTTTCCTGTGAGGGTGGCGAGGCCCTGGCAGGGGCTGTGCAGAGAGGCTGTGGATGCCCCATCCCTGGCAACAGTCAAGATCAACTTGGAAGGGGCCCTGAGCAACCTGGTCAGGTTGGAATAAGATGATTTTAAGGTCCCTCCCAAGCCAAACCATTCAAGGATTCCATCATTCCATGATCCCCATCCCCACTGCTGAGCGGCCCCACAACTCCTGTGACATCACAGCTGCCAGAGCTGTGCCCGTGTTCCATGTGGAACTGCCAGGGCCCGGCGACGAGCACAACGCAGCCATTCCCCTGCTGCCAGCGATTCGTGAGCAGCTCCCAGGGAAAGCTCGTCAAGTGATCCCTAAAAGACCTGTCACTCCTGGACTCTCTCTGCTGTCTGGAGCTCAGCAGCCATCCCAGCAGGATGGGCAACCTCCTCCCAGTCAAGGTACAGTGCCATTCCATGCAGTTGGGCAACCCCTGACTTCCAAGGAAGGTTCGAGCTCGGTGGGGCTGGTGTGGGACAGGGACCCCTCTCTGAGGTTGTGCTCCCTTACACAGACTGCCGGAGATACGGAGGAACAGATGGATGTGGACGTTGTGGTGGACACAGAGGAGAGGATGGAGGTAGACGTCCAAGAGTTTGAAGAAGAGATGGAAGTCGATGAGGTGGAGGAGATCGAGGAGATGGATGTGGACCATCAAGATGAGGAGGAGGACATGGTGCTGGGATGAGGACAGTCCCCCAGCAGCACGACAGGCACGTCCTGGCCATGCCCTGCCCCGGGGTCACCTGCTGGGTGGGCCAGGCTGGGGGCACAGGGAACACCCAGCAGGGCCCGACTGCACTGACCGTGCCCTTGCTTTTCTTGCAGGACTGACGGACCTACCAGCCATGCAATTGGCCACTTGTACATATGTTTTTCACCCTTTTCCCAGTTTTTCTGTAAATACGTTTTATATTAGTGACGTTTTAAGAAATTTGTTGTTTTTATATAGAAGATAGTTTAAGAAGATAGATTTTTAAGTAAGGAGATAGTTTTTTATTAAGAAAATAGTTTTTAGGAAGATAAGTTTCCTTTTTAAGAAGATAGCTTTTTCTTAAGAATATAGTTGTTTTATTTAGAAGATAGTTGTTTTTATTAAGAAGATATTTTTATGAAGAAGACAACTGTTTTTAATAAGAAGATGTTTGTTGATATTAAGATTGTTGTCATCAAGAAGACTGTCGTTTCTTTGAAGAAGAGTGCTGGATTTAATAAGAAAATTCTGAAAATGTCAATAAATTCTGGAGACGTGTCTTATCTGTTGTTGTTTTATTGTCCTTCTGTAAATACATGTCAAAGACTGTTGTTGTTCCATGGGCCTTGAGAATGTGCCCTCTCAGCCCAGACCCCCCCGTGTCCTGGGCTCATCCCCAGCCCTGGGGGCAGCAGGGCAGGGGGGTTGTGCCGCTCTGCTGCGCTCTCAGGAGACCCCACCTGCAGTGCGGCCTCCAGCTCTGGGGTCCCCGACACAACAAGGCCAGGGAACTGCTGCAGCAAGGCCACACCAGGCCACCAAGGGGCTCAGGGACCTCGAGCACCTCCCCTCTGCACACAGGCTGGCAAAGTTGGGGCTCTTCAGCCTGGACAAGAGAAGGTTGTGTGGAGACCTGGGAGAAACCTTCCCGTCTGGGAAGGGGCCTCCAAGGAAGCCGGAGGGTGACTCTTGGTCAGCAACTGTAGTGACAGGACAAGGGCTTCAAACTGACAGGGAGGAGGGTTAGATTTGATGTTAGGAAGATAATGGTTCCTGTGAGGGTGGTGAGGCCCTGGCAGGGACTGTGCAGAGAGGCTGTGGCTGCCCCATCCCTGGGAACATTCAAGGCCCACTTGGCCGTGACCCTGAGCAACTTGGTCAGGTTGGAACAAGATGATTTTAAGGTCCCTCCCAAACCAAACCTTTTAAGGATTCCATCATTCCATGATCCCCATCCCCACTACCGAGTGACCCCACAACTCCTGTGACATCACAGCTGCCAGAGCTGTGCCCGTGTTCCATGTGGAACTGCCAGGGCCCGGCGACGAGCACAACGCAGCCATTCCCCTGCTGACAGCGATCTGTGAGCAGCTCACAGCGCGCCCTCGACAGGAGATCCCGGAGAGACCCGCGAGTCCTGGACTCAACCTACTCTCTGGAGCTCTGCAGCCATCCCAGCAGGATGGGCAACCTCCTCCCAGTCAAGGTACAGTGCCAAGCCATGCAGGTGGGAAACCCCTGACTTCCCAGGAAGGCTGCAGCTCGGTGGGGCTGGTGTGGGACAGGGACCCCTCTCTGACGTTGTGCTCCCTTACACAGACTGCTGGAGATACCGAGGAAGAGATGGACGTCGACGTTGTGGTGGACACAGAGGAGGGGATGGAGGTGGACGTCCAAGAGTTTGATGAAGAGATGGAGGTCGATGTGGTGGATGAGATCGAGGACATGGAGGTCGACCAGTAAGATGAGGAGGAGGACATGGTGCTGGGATGAGGACAGTCCCCCAGCAGCACGACAGGCACGTACTGGCCATGCCCTGCCCCGGGGTCACCTGCTGGGTGTGCCAGGCTGGGGGCACAGGGAACACCCAGCAGGGCCCGACTGCACTGACCGTGCCCTTGCTTTTCTTCCAGGACTGACGGACCTGCCGGCCATGGCATCGGCCACCTGTACATATGTTTTTCACGTTTTTCTGTAAATATGTTTTATATTATTCACTTTTTAAGTGAGTTTTTGTTGGTTTTATGAAGAAGAAAGTGTAAGAAGATAGGGTTTTTACATCCGAAGATAGGTTTGTAGTACGACTGCATACTTTTTAAGAAGATAAGTTTTCTTTTAAAGAAGATAGACTTTTATTTAAGAAGACAGTTTTTTATGAAGATGATAGTTTTTTAAGAAGATAAGGTTTCTTTTTAAGAAGATAGTTTTTTATTAAGTAGATATTTTTATTTAGAAGATAGTTGTTTTTATTAAGAAGATATTTTTATTAAGAAGAGAGTTGTTTTTTCAAGAAGATAATTGTTTTTAAAAGAAGAAGATGGTTTTTGATATTAAGACTGTTGTCATCAAGAAGACTCTTGCTTCTGTAAAGAAGAACACTGGATTTATTAAGAAAATTTGGAAAAAGTCAATAAATTCTGTACACGTCTCTGATATGTTGTTGGTTTATTGCCCTTCTGTAAATACATGTCAAAGATTATTGTCATTACATGGGCCCTTAGAATGTGCCCTCTCAGCCCAGACCCCCCCCGTGTCCTGGGCTCATCCCCAGCCCTGGGGGCAGCAGGGCAGGGGGGTTCTGCCGCTCTGCTGCGCTCTCAGGAGACCCCACCTGCAGTGCGGCCTCCAGCTCTGGGGGCCCCGACACAACAAGGCCAGGGAACTGCTGCAGCAAGGCCAGACCAGGCCACCAAGGGGCTCAGGGACCTCGAGCACCTCCCCTCTGCACACAGGCTGGCAAAGTTGGGGCTCTTCAGCCTGGAGAAGGTTGTGTGGAGACCTGGGAGAAACCTTCCCGTCTGGGAAGGGGCCTCCAAGGAAGCCGGAGGGTGACTCTTGGTCAGCAACTGTAGTGACAAGACAAGGGATTCAAACTGTCAGAGGGGAGGGTTAGATTTGATGTTAGGAAAATATTGTTTCCTGTGAGGGTGGCGAGGCCCTGGCAGGGGCTGTGCAGAGAGGCTGTGGATGCCCCATCCCTGGCAACATTCAAGGACCACTTGGATGGGGCCCTGAGCAACCTGGTCAGGTTGAAAAAAGATGATTTTAAGGTCCCTCCCAAGCCAAACCGTTCAAGGATTCCATCATTCCATGATCCCCATCCCCACTGCCGAGTGGTCCCACAACTCCTGTGACATCACAGCTGCCAGAGCTGTGCCTGTGTTCCATGTGGAACTGCCAGGGCCCGGCGACGAGCACAACGCAGCCATTCCCCTGCTGACAGCGATCTGTGAGCAGCTCCCCGGGAAAGCTCATCAAGTGATCCCTAAAAGACCTGTCAGTCCTGGACTCTCTGTGCTGTCTGAAGCTCAGCAGCCATCCCAGCAGGATGGGCAACCTCCTCCCAGTCAAGGTACAGTGACAATCCATGCAACTGGGAAACCTCTGACTTCCCAGGAAGGTTGGAGCTCAGTGGGGCTGGTGTGGGACAGGGACCCCTCTCTGAGCTTGTGCTC